ACAACTTTCCCTGTTACCTGTTCTTGATAAGTGAAAACTGCAGGGAAATAAAAATACATATCAAAACATGGACATGCTGCATATGTGTTTATTTCACCATGTGCACACAGGAGCAGTGACCACGTGAGGGGGTGAGAGCACTTAACAGCACTGTCATGGTCATAGTGCTTTGCAAGTTGAAGGCTATGAATTCTAAGCAGCTCATCTGTGGGCATTATTGGGTTTCAGATAATCCAATATAAACTACCTTTGATAGGAAAAGTTCTTAAAAATATTTTACTGAACGAATGTAAGTAATTTGCAGCATAACATTCATTGAACTCTCATAAATGAGCCTCATTTTATAAATAAAAGTTTAGAGTAGAATTATATTGCAAAGGGGTTTTGTCAAGAAGTCCTGGGAAATGTAAATATTTTAATGCATACAATTTAAACCATTTCAAACTTACATAATTTTATACTTTACATTTTTATATCCGCAGTCCTGAAAGTTGTAAATTAATATGCCAGTTGAATGAATGGGCCAAGTTTTCTGATGAGAATGGTTTTATTTGGGTCCTAAATGTATAAAACAATTTATGGCCAACACCACCGAAAAAAATAATGAATTTCACTTCATCATTGATTGTGACCTGATAGGACCCTTGCTCGTTTCTGCCATACTACCTCTGGAGTTACTCATTGCTGATTATATAAAGGAAATAATTTTGATTTGCTATGTATTATGACTGTGTGTTCATTCTGCTTATAGTTGGATTGTATCTCCTTGCTATTAAGAACTTAAATCAACTTCCGTGCCAATTTTGGAGAAAGTTTTTTTTTTTTAACTGAAGTAAAGCATGACGTCAATTTGCCTTCTGTGATATACATGTTGTAAATCCTTTAAGTAAGACGAACTGTCTTTCTGCACCGTTTCTGGAGGTGACGGCTCTCAGAAGCAGCTAAGACGACAAGTGACTGACTCGGTCCTCTTGGTGGTGGTGACTGTTGTATGGAAAGCACCTCCGTTACTTGCACACACACTTTTCCAGTGTTTTTCAAAAACTCCAAGAAAAGGTTTGCACCCTCCCTGCCCTAGTTAGAACCACCATCTCTTGGTTTTTTGAGGACAGGAGCAGTGGTGCTTGTAGCCACATTAAGTTCTCGACTCCTTGGGTAATGTTTGGGGTGATGGGGAATGAGAGTAGTAGATTGTGTGTGTGCGTGTGCGTGTGCGCGCGCGCGCGCGCGCGCGCGCGAGCAAGAGACAGACAGACAGACAGAACATTAACAGGAGTAAATCAGAATTAGAATTCATGTCTTAAAAAGAACACCTCTTCCTTTCCCAGTAATGCTGGGTCATCATTATAACCAATTGTGGTGACAGAGCTCAAAATATATGAGAAGTTAGAATACATAACCTTTGGCAAAAGAACATGGGAAAATTTTAAAATATGTGGAGGGTACATTGTAAAAGCACAAGCACACCAAACACATACATAGAGGCATAGTTCTTTCTGTCTCTTAAATATTGAGAATACAGTATTTGCATCTGTGTGCTTCATTAACTATTCCCATTTGTTTTGGGGAGAAGCGGAGGAGAAGAGGTAAAGGGGACTACTATTTCAGACAAATGAATCCCTGCTACATATTGCTGTATTTTCGTGTACACACTTCTCAAGTGGTTTGTTCTCCCTCAACCAAACTGGAAAAATACTGGATTTCAAAAGGGAAGGGTGTGTCAAGTCATTCTGAATATCAGATTTTCTAAGAATAGATGCTTTTTATCATCAACAAAAAATAACATAAAAATAGCTTACCATCATAGAACAGGCAAATTTCTCTCAATGACCCCATTTCATCCTAATAACAATTCTGTGAAGTACTGTGTTCTCATTTTGCAGATGAGGAATGTGAAGCTTAGTGAAGTTCAGAGTTCTGTATCACAGAGGTGGTAATTGACCGAGCCAGGACTTAACCGGAGCTGCCCAGCACACCTCGACCCACTGCTTCCCATCTTTAACACAAGGGTGCATGCCTCCCAGAAGCTCTCTGCTTCTCAGTCCGCTTCCAGGCAGCATCCACAGCAGTTTCACTTAGAAAACAGCTACTCGCATTCCTATACTGCCAGGCAATTCATGTCTGAGTTTTTGCTATTGTTTGTGTTCCCTCTTGCTTCCCGAACTGAGTCCGTCAGTGTGCTCAGCCTCGCAGACCCGACCAATGGGGTTCCCTTGTCAGCCAGATCTAGCCCAGAAAGTCAGCTCCCGGTCAACCCGAGACACAGGGAGCTGGGTGTGAGCTTGCCTGTCTCTGGACGGTCGTTTCAGCAAGTCCCTGGGACTACAGGGAGGATGCCTTAGGGATAAGGTGACCAGATTTTAACATTGCTAAAGGAGGACACCGTTGAAAAACTCTTATCCTGGCGAAATAGCCACATGGCAACCGAAAACCGTATACCCTAGCTTGTCGTGCATTCTTTCCAAAAATCGGGACTTTTTTAAAACGCCGCGGGACGGGGGAAAACATTGTTAAAAACCGGGACATCTGGTCGGTCACCTTACAAGTTAGGGAAGGCACACAGGTGGTTCACAGGTCTCTTACCAAGGAAGGGTCTCAGGCTGAACAGATCAGTAGTCTCCACAGCTGTTTTTAATCCAGCCACATCAGGGCCAAATCAAGTGTGGATAATTGCATAGCGTTATATAAAGAGCTCGATGAATTCTAAACAACTTCAGTGACTACAAGTTACGAAAGGCCACCAGAACTTAGTCTCTGGCATTTCTGTCGGTTCCAGTGCAATAGGTGTCGTGTCTCTCCCCACCCACACAGCCTTCTCAGGCCACTCCCCTGCCTTCCAAAAATAGAAACTTCCCTGGGTACCCTGACTTAACCAGCACCATTGAAAAGAATCATAACAAATCAGACCGTAACCCCACCGAACAATCCTTTTCCTAGTGTCTGAAAGGAGGGCAGATATTTCAAACAAGGGTTTAAGATGTTATAACCTACTTCACAGCTAGACATGTTCACAGGAAAAGGTAACGCTAGACCATGTACTTCCTAGTAGGGATTTATTTAGTATTTATTATTTATTTAGAATTTGAGGCTTGGGCTACCTTACAATTAAAAGTCTTGTATGTACTTGCAATGACTTGTTAGTTCTCATAAACCCTCCCTTGTCATACTAAATCATTCTTGAATAAAACTCTTAATACCCTGGCTGACTCGGAGTAACATTTTGGGGTGAGATGACCAAATATCTCAAAACGCACCCTCAGAGGGAACACCTGCTATCCTCAGGAAGGCCTTGGACTACAGGTATCTGCCAGAACAAGAGGCGAACTCCAGTTCCTTAAAAGCAATACATCCCCCTTCAGTGTGCAAGCTACTGATTGAATGACAGCATTCTAAACCATTATTTTCCACTGACCAAGCTGGAAAACATTTAAATGCTACAGAGCCCTGTGTTCTTTCCATTCTCATTTCCACACACACACACACACGCGCGCGCGCGCGACACGGGCAGAGCAATGATCCCGGGTTTGGGTCAATGGCCAAGCGACCCTCCATTTGGGATACCCAAGATGCAAGCTGGAGATGCACTGAGGACCAGAAAAGGCCATCCGATTTGGCCACAGACTGCTGAGTAGCCAACCTCCACACACTTCCTAGGGGAGCGACTCGGTCCTCAGACCCGCCTGCTCGGACCGCAGTACCCGCGAGTGAGTTACCTGAGGTGTGTTACCTGAGCGCAGGTCTGCGAAGCCAGGAATGGATGGTGTCTGCCGCTTGGCGTCCCCTCAGAGAAAGCCGACTGTGGGGTGCAGCCAGCAGCTGCAGCACG